CGACCAAGTGTACTGAACTCGGTGCGGTTTTTAAAATGAATTGCCCCAACTCGGATCCATTCATATCATTAACCAAGTTGTGAATTTTTGTAAAAAATAATTTCCGAGTTCCACTTTGATCTTTTGCAATATCTTCAGTCACTAGTGTAAGTCGGTATGCGAACTTACTAAGAATTCGCAAGACTTAACACATTTTTGGGCTGTACGTAAAACAAAATAGAGTTCACCGAACTTCGTCAGAGTTCGATTATGGAATGGCCCCAACCGATTTAGATCTTTTGTATTCGGTGATTTTCGGGACCCGTCAAATCATGTTTGTTGAAATGACGTTTGACGAGCTTTAATCCCCAACCAAAACATGCGTAGGATTTGGATGGATTACGGGGTATCAGCAAGACCGAGTGTCGCAATGCTTACATCGATACAAAATATTTATAGAACCGAGTTTCAAAGTGTTTTACATCGGTACCGGGCTGTTGCTCGGATTTTCAAAAGTGAAAAGTCGGTAGACTTTCAGTATACCAAAAGAGTTACTTCGTGCATTCAGCGAAGCAAAAGGGAGGTCCGTTCAGAAGAAGAGTTGGCTATCCGACTTCGGACCGTTCATTGATAGAACTTCTTTAGGAAAACATCATTCCATGGATATTGATGTGGAGTTCCATCAGGGTGAGCGATTCGGTAGGCCCCATGAGGTAGGACTTCAACAATTTGAAAGGGTCCTTCCCACCTCGGTTTGAGTGGGCCGGGGTCGGCCCCCATCACGCGTTTGAGAACTAGATCTCCAACTCGGAATGTACACGGCTTGAATTTGGAATTAACGTATCTTTCGCTCTGGTGTTTATAAGCAGCATTTTTTAGCTCGGCGCGGGTACGATGTTCTTCAAGCAAATCTAGATTGGCTTTCAGGTTATCCGAGTTGGACTCTTCGGTAAAATGTTGAATTCGGTAAGTAGGTTCACCGAGTTCGACTGGGACTACGGCTTCTGATCCATAAGTGAGTGAGAACGGGGTCTCACCGGTAGAAGTGCGGGTAGTTGTCCGATAGGCCCATAGGACGTGTGGCAACTCTTCAGGCCAAGCTCCTTTGGCAGCGTCAAGTCGGACTTTGAGGCTGTTTTTTATGAGCTTGTTCACAGCTTCGACTTGGCCGTTGGATTGCGGGTGGTAAGGTGAAGAGAAAAAGTGTTTGATGTTATATTCTTCGCACAGGGACTCAAGTCGCTTGCCTTCGAATTGTCTACCGTTATCGGTAATAATGGAGTTCGGTACTCCAAAGCGGCAGATGATTGATTTCCATACAAAGTCAACAACTTTCTGTTCGGTTATCATGACTAATGGTTCGGCTTCGGCCCATTTAGTGAAATAATCAACTGCTACGATGGCAAATCGGATGCCTCCTTTTCCGGTTGGCAGGGGACCTATGAGATCGATCCCCCATTTAGCGAAAGGCCATGGACTGTAAATTTATTTGAACTCTTCGGGGGATTGGTGAATGTTGGGTGCGAATACTTGGCATTTCGGACATTTGCGAACCCATGTGGCAGCGTCAGTTTTTAAGGTCGGCCAGTAATAACCCTGTCGCAAGACTTTGTAGGATAAGGCCTGTGCACCGGGGCGACTTCCGCAAATTCCTTCATGGACTTCTTCAAGGATATCGTGAGTCAGATTCATTCACGCATTTTAAAAGTGGGACGGAGTATCCTCTTTTGAACAAAGTTCCATTGTCCAGTTTGTACCGAGCTGCTCGAATCCGAAGTGTCCGAGCTTCTTTTGGGTCCGGGGGCAAGGCCCCTGTTTCCAAGTAGTGGATAATGGGATCCATCCAAGTCGGCGACTTTTGTGATGTTACCGGATCAATGGTCGCGACTTGGGAAAGGACGGTCGACGGCTGTTCTTGTTGACCGACTTGGACATACTCCATGCTCTCCATCCCGGTACTTGAGGCTAGCCGAGACAAAGAGTCTGCTTGAACATTAAGAGTTCGGGGGATGTGTTCGACGTCAGCGGAGAACTTTGATAATTTTCGCTTTGCCAAAGATAGATATGGTGTCAGCCGAGGTTCTTTGACTTCATATGAACCGTTGATTTGGTTGACAAGGAGTTGTGAGTCTGAGAAGACTTTGAGGTGTTTCACGTTCATGGATTCAGCCAAATTCAATCAGGATAGCAAAGCTTTATATTCGGCTTCAATATTTGTTGCAGGAAAGAGAAATTTCACCGAATGACAGAATAATCGATTTTCTGGGTTTGCCAGTACTATTCCTGCACCTGCTCGGTTGGCTGTTGAGGAACCGTCGATATAAAGAACCCACGGCTAATTGTCATTATGAACTGTTATAGTCGGAGTGAATTCGACGATGAAGTCGGATAAGGTTTGTGCCTTGATCGCGGTCCTCGGTTGATAATGGATGTCGATTTCTCCGAGCTCAATGGCCCATTTTATCATGCGTCCCGAGGTATCAGGTCGGTGCAGAACTTGTGGCAACGGATACGAAGTGCGGACCGTTATAGAGTGTTCTTGGAAATAAGGTCGTAATTTCCGGGCGGCGATAACAAGTGCAAATGCCAATTTTTGCATCGGAGGGTAACGCAACTCAGCATCATGTAAGGCCTTGCTGATATAATAGATCGGTGACTGTAATTTCCCTTCTTCACGTACTAAAACAGCGCTGATCACCGAATCACTGACTCCGAGGTACAAAAACAGCATTTCCTCGGGCCTCGGCTTTTGTAATGTCGGTAGAGAGACGAGTGTCTCCTTGATGCTGATAAGGGCTTTCTGACATTCCTCGGTCCATTCAAAACGCTTTCCTTTCTTGATTGCTTCGAAAAAAGGTTTACACCGATCTGTGGATTTGGAAAGGAAACGGTTCAGTGCAGCAAGTCGGCCAGTTAGGGACTGAACACCCTTGACCGAGGTCGGGGGAGTTAGGTCTTGAATGGCTTTAATCTTGGCTGGGTTGGCTTCAATTCCCCGTTGGCTGACCATATAGCCCAGAAATTTTCCAGACTCAACTCCGAAGGTACATTTCTTAGGATTCAACACCATAGAATAAGATCGGAGAATATTGAACATGTCCTGAAGATGTGTTATATGGTCAGAAGCGTGCACCGACTTGACGAGCATGTCGTCAACATAAATTTCCATGGTATGACCTATCATCGTAGCAAACATTTTGTTGACAAGGCGCTGATAAGTGGCCCCTGCGTTTTTCAACCCAAACGGCATCATGGTATAGTAGTACAAGCCTCGTGCTGAATAAAACGAGGTGTGTTCGGAATCTTCGGGATCCATAGGAATCTGATTATAACCGGAATAAGCATCCATAAAACTCATCAACTCGTGTCCCGACGTGGCATCAACCATATAATCTATGTGTGGGAGCGGGTAACTGTCCTTCGGGCACGCCTTGTTCAAGTCGGAAAAATCAATACATAGTCTCCACAGACCATTGCTCTTTTTGACGAGAACGGGGTTTGAGACCCATGTCGGATATTTGGCCTCTTTAATAAACTTGTTGTCGATGAGTTTCTTAACTTCTTCTTCCAACGTTTTCTGACGATCCAGTCCCAGTTTTCTTCATTTTTGCACGATTGGACGGACAGTTCGGTCGAGATTTAATTTATGGCTAGCGACACCGGGATCGATGCCCTTCATATCTTCATGCTTCCAGGCAAAGACGTCAGAATTACATTTGAGAAATGAAATAATTTCTGACCGGAGAGGTTCTTGAAGATGACTTCCGATGCGCAATGATTTATGGAAGATTGGTTCGTCGATATAAATCAATTCTATGTCTTCTCCAGGTTCGGCTCGATCACTTCGGCTTTTTCTTTAAACTAGGCTCTTGGGTCTAACTCATCTTCTTCAAGGAGTGGTTCCTTTCCAGGCCGTCTACCTCGGTCTTCGGCTAAAGAATCCGAGGTGGGAAAAGTAACGGCGTTGTGGTTCAGTTCTTCGGACATTATATCGTCCGAGGTGTTCTGTAGTAGGGAATTTTCATTATTACCCGACGTGGTGGAATGGATTCCGCTGGATGGTATAAATGTGACAAGTTCTCGAGATTCTCTTTGGTCTCCGAAGTGTGTCCCTTCTCCTCGTGTAGTAGGGAATTTCAACGCATAATGAAAATTGAAACTGCAGCTCGGAGCTTGTACAGAGCTGTTCTTCCGATGATCGCATTGTATTCGTTACTGATATCGAGAATTTTGAAAGTTTCCATGATGAGCTTAGTGACGTTCTACGAAGTGCCAAATCTGACAGGTAAAGTGATCTGGCCGATAGGCTTTGAAATACTTCCGTTGAATCCCTTTATTTGGTCATTGCAAGGTCGGATGTCGGCGGGATCAAGACCCATTTTGTCGAAAGCTTTTAACATCAAAATGCTCGAATAGGCCCCAGTATCTACCATAACACGATGTACGGGAATTCCGTATATAGGGACAATGATAACAAGCGCATCGGAATGAGGGTGTGAGAAATGATTGGCGTCCTCCATATTAAAGGTTATGGGACAGTTCCGATTGTTGAGGATGTCTCTCAAATCGGTAGTGTATACTTGTTTGCCGGAGTTGTACGCTTGTCGGGCATAGGCTTTGATTTGTCGACGGGACAATGTACTCCGGGAGTTATTGGTGTTGACACGGTGGATGGTGATTTGCATCGGTCCAGGAGATCGGTCTCGCTTACGTCCTCGGGGAGTTCCAGCAAAGTCATAATTGGGTGTTTCCGAGGTGAACATAAATACTTCCTTGTCTCCTTGTCGGATGCGTTTTGGCATAGCGCCTCGGTCCTCCTCGTCGTCTTCATCATATGATTCAATTTGGCGCCCTGGACCTCGTCTCTGCGGATCGGTATTGCGATAGAACTTTCTAAGCTGCGGATGACCAATCAAACGTAACAAGGCAGCTAACAAACTTAAACACTCATCAGTATTGTGCCCTGGCGATTTATGATAATCACAATACCGGGACATGTCTAATTTCTCTTTGGACATCCGAAGTGGCTTGGGATCTGGTAAGATACCTTTCCCTTTGATTTCTTCATATATGGTGGCAGCCCCTGCGGAATATACGGTTTGATAACCGGATTTCACATCGGTAGCATACTGTTTTCGGGCTGCTCTGACTTTAGGATCGTTGGGATCTCCACGGGGAGGTCCTCTGAACTGAGTCTTGCTTTGTTTTTCAAAAAATTTGTTTTTCTTTTTCTCGTCAGTTCCCGCCTTAGATGACTTCGGATTAAAATTAAAGTCAGAAACCGACATGGCTTCCTCAACTATGATGTGTTGCTGAGCTCGAGCAAGAAATTCCTGAAAGGTGTTTGGTTTATTTTGACACAATGTCCAGCGGAAAATCGAATTCGGTTTCAGCCCGGCAATAGCCATGACAAGCAAGGTTTCAGGATGACAAGGCTCTATATTTTGAACTCGGTCATTAAATCGGGCGATGTAATCCTTGACACTTTCATCTTCTTTTTGGGTTACATTTGCAAGGGATTCTTTTGGAATTAAATATACTTGGGCCCCGATGAAGTGGGATCGGAAGGCCGACCTCAGCTGTTGCCATTTCCATATGGAATGAGGAGGAAGAGAATGGTACCATTTTTGAGCCCGAGGTCCCAGCGTAAGGGAAAACATTCGACACCGAAGTGCGTCCGAGGCCCCATGTAAGTCCATCCAAGATGTGTAATGACCGAGGTGCGAGTCAGGATCCGAGGTTCCGTCGTATAATCCGATCTGAGGTACTTTGACTTTCCCAGGCACAGGTTCCGAGATGAGCTTCGGTGTGAGGGGGGAGTCGGCTTCTAGATATACTTGTGCCGAAGTCGAAGTCCGCCGAGGAGGGTCTTCAGGCATCCTTTGCCGACTTTCCAACTCGGCGATCCTTCGTCGCAATGTTTCGAGTTCAGAAGTTTCTTGGCGAGCTCGATTTCTCTCAATGTGTTCACGAAGATCAGCTGGCGCTGGAGTAGAGGGAATTTGATGTCGTGCCTGAGGAGGCGACCGTCGTGAATGTGCAGACTGACTTTCGGCGGTTTCTTCGCGAGGAAGTACGAGGGGATTACGCCCGACGTCGATGCGATGTGTAGTTTGCTCTGGAGGCGGCTGTGACATTCGATCACGAGGTTGAGACGTGGCATGAGATGTAGTTCTTCCGCCGTCTTGTCGCACCGGTGGATTCTGCAGATTTGCAGGAGTCGTGGGTATGATGGAATGTCCTGGGGCAGTCGTTGATGTTCCGGGGATCGTTTGAGCCATCAGAACGGTGAACCCACGTGCAAACTCTGGATTTTGAAACAGAACAGTATAATCAGGTATAGGAGGAGCTACGGCTTGTCGTCTGGCGGATTGCGCAGCGCCGCGACTGTGGCCATCTCGTGAAGTATGACCACGATGATCAGAATGAGACATGAGTGGTATGACTGACGGGAATCACTATACAAAAATCGGAGAGTTGCCTCAAATCACTTATGAGGCCCTCCTTCTAGCGCCAAACTGTTGTTATGTGTTTTTTAACAATGCTTTAACCTTGTATGTATTTAATAGAGTAGGTTAATTGGAACGTAAAGCATGAATAAATTGCTCAACGATGGCCCCGGTCCGAGGTGAACCAAGGTTAAAAGCTTCTATGAGCTATTTCGTGTTTCATTATAAGAGAGTGGATCTCTCCGAATTCCCTCCCGTACAAGTACTATCAGCTAGCTATTTATAGTAACTTTTTGGTATATATGTATCGGGATTTGTGCGTCGCTTTTCCGATAAAGCTACTTTTGTTGGGCGGCTGAGCTAGTGGGCCCTACGCTAATGATGACAAATCTCGAGGGTTGTGAGAGGAGCGTGTAGGCGCCTTGTCACCTGCTTTAGGAGGTGACGACCTCGGTTCGTGTTGGCCTCGGTTTGGAGCGACTTCGGTTGGTAGGGACTACTTCGGTCTTTTATGGTCGTACCGATTTGTTGTGTGAACCGAGATGACTTTAGGTTACGTCGGTCTGCAAGTCAAATTTGCTAATGATGTTGTTCAAGGTCCTTAATTGTGCTTTACCGAGTCGGATGATAACATTATTTATGTTTAATTTAATAATTTATAAAGTTATTTTTATTTTTATTGTAAGCTCGATTTTATGTGATAATTAAGTGAGTGTCCACACTCATTTATTTATCAAGTTAATGATTAAAAAAGGATTTTAGATGTCCTCATCTATTTAATTTTCCTAAATATTAAATGCAATAATAATGATATAACTATTATTTATGAAATGGCTTAATTTATTTAATATAATTTTAAATAATGAAGAAATTAAAAATTAAGATGATAAACTGAGCTCAAAATAAACAGTCCAATTTTCCTAAGCCAGATGAAAATTCAATACCCTACGATATTTTATTCCTCATCCAAGCCAGAAAGAATCCTAATTTTTATCAGTTTCCTAGTCCTATTGTTCAAGAGTTTTTATTGTTTACCGTATCAAATCCAACATTACAAAACTCTCCCCTCTATCTCTCATCTCTCTCGGCACTCTCTCTCTTTATATCTCTCACGCCCGAACTCTCTCTCTTCTCTCCCTCTCTCGCTCTTCATCGTCAATCACTGTCACCACCATCTTCATTACCGATCATTGTCACCATTATCAAGCAGCACCACCGTGAGTCTCAACCTTTCACCACCTCCGAGCGATCAACCACCATCATCGAACCACC